GGTGCTCTCTGATAAAAGGATTTCGAAAGAGACCAAGCTGCGTCTGCACCTACAAGATGGCATGGATCACTGACCCGCTTTGAGGCTGGTGCCTGTTTGTTTGCAGCTGGCAGTCAGTACACTGTCACCCCCTCAAAACCCCTTCCTGCGTTTCCAACTCGAGGCACCAGGAAAAAAGGTCTGCGTTGATCGAAATGTTTGTTTCTAAGAAAAAAAGCTTGATTCCCGTCTCTCAAGGTGAATTTTCAATGAGCGTGATCTGGTACCATGGCAATTTTGACTGGACGGTCGCAGAAGTTGAGGAGGCGAGCAATGTGAGCATGCTTGAGTTTTCAAACCCGTTTCCTGCATGCCAACGGGCATCAACACGTTGAACGAACAAAAGTGAAAATGCGTGGAGCGAAAGGGAGTGACATAATACAACACTGCGCCAAATATTAAGAACGGGTTCAAACACTTTAATAATAATGTTCATAAAAAAAAATCATGTTCACATGTCCCTCCTATTCGGCTTCTCTCACCGATCAAACAGTGAAAGGTGGTACTCAGTTGAGCCCTTTGAAGCTCACGGAGAGCTGCATCAAACAAACTGGTCGATCAATGCGGGCAGTACGTCTGGCATCTATTAACGGAACACAGGCGGTTGGGTCCTCTCGGCTAACCACTTTATCCCTACGGTGCCAGGCTGCCACTGCCACCCCCATCAGCGGGTCAGTGACCCGAGGGCAGCTCGTCGGATGGGGCCCTCTCGGCTGACCACTTTGTTCCTGCAGTGCCAGGCTGCCACTGCCAGCCCCACCAGCTGGTCAGTGACCCGCGGGCAACTGTTCGGTTGTAGACGCCATCTGGTCTCCTTCGAAATTGCTAGAGCAAACAGTGGTTGACATTGGTTCTTTGGCTAAAGGAGTCCACATGGTTCAGAAGTGTATGAAGCGGCGCGTTCGCAGCCAGGTGGACTCGAGGCGGGCTCAGGTCTGCCGGCCACATGGTCTTGTCACGTTGAGCTCCGTGGCGCGATCCTCAGTTTCTCGTGGAGGGTGGCGAGTCTGCTAATTTGATAATGCCAAGCTACAGGAACGCCCTGGGCCGCGAATCCGGCCTATTTTCCGAAAGACGCAATGGTGTGGCTGTGCTGTCGAGGGGGCGCTTCCAAGGGGTGGAAAATGTCGAACGACTTCGGGAATGTTTCTGCGTCTTAAAAGACAAGATAAATACAAGAATCAGAACCGGCATGAAGAGCGTTGTCAACGCTTGTCTTGCTGTTCGTGTGCAGTGCAACAGTCGGCTCACCAACAAATGTCGATATCATAATGGTGTAATGTAGTGTGCGCGTAACTCGTTTTCAATGCACAAGGCTGATCCAGCGTGGTGCACGGAATGATGTTACTCGCATCCTTCATTCCAAACAGCCCGTGAAACATTTTTATGGCGCGCCCTTCCACTGAAAGCCATCCACAATCCTTTCCAACTGCCGGATTGCCCACGACTGTGAACTGGATGGTTGCAAGGCCGTCTATCTGCTATTGTTCGTTATTAATCTCAATGATGTATAAATTCCTGTAAGCACCTGAATGGCCCCATTTAATCCGACTTAACAACCAAGGGACGACACCCAAAGCAGCCTATGGCATCGATTTCTAATCCGCGCCATGGTGCACAATATGTGGTATCAAGTGCATTCACCTTCCACTCTTCTTCTTGGGAGAATACATCCGAAGATTGCATTATAGGTGGGCCAACACACTTTGCCCTTCCAGTCAGTATGCCATTATGGAAATGATATCGATGCTATGTCAGTACATTGTTCTCTTCTAACTCAGCTGCAATGGAATTTCCTCTCTTCAGCACTCCTTCACATTAACAGCATCAATTCCCAAAAGTTGTCGTCAAAGTATTGATCAGTCAATTATTATCCATCATTGTTAGATCAGCACGATGGCCACAACTCCCCCCCATCAGCGTCGTCGAAGTGCCTGCATCCTCGCCAGTGCCCCAAGGTTTTGGCAATTCGTGTGTTAAAGATTTTCTGCATGTCGCCCGAAATTCCTATTTGTGAATGCAGTCTTGTTTTCCTACTACCCGCGCCTTGGAATCACTTGTGATTTTATGCACATGTCCTTTTCAATTGGAGCCATCAAGCATGTCGCTCATCATGATCGACCTCAAGGGATTTTCACAACACTGCTATGATAGTTCGCTCTAGTAGGTATGCGATATGTTGTGTGACGCTGCATTTTACTTTTGCGACGCTTCTTTTTACCATCTTTGCAACTGCATATCCCAGGTCACCCAGTGCCGCCCCATTATCTGATGGCGTCGGTAAGTAGCTTCAGGGGACATGCCATTCAGCCATGTAATAAGCCCTATTGTGTCCGGTGTGGCTGTATGGCACATGACTTGCTGTGCTTTTCCATGACCCTCCCGTGGTCCCAGTTACTTCTACGGGATAGCTTGCAAGTGACATGTTGCACTGTGTTTCCTTGCACTGCAAATGTCGCCACGACTGCTGGATGTATGAAGCATTAAGGCAAACGCAACCATCAATTATCTCAAGTCCTGACAATTTTATGTTTGTTTTCACTGAGTCCACCATTTTTAACATTCCATTTACTAGCTCCCAGCTACACGAGCTGCATGAGTCTTTGCAATAAAATTGAAATCGATGTTGCGACTTCTGACGTGAATGTTGGTGCAATGAGCGAATACTTTGCGCCATTGGAAACATTTCCCAATCGGCGCAATGCGAGGCAGCGAATCAGCTGTACAGGCTGCCCAATCTCCGCGATCCCCGCGGTGGAAAGACCCGAAGATGCGCGCTGCCACTGCACAACAAAACAGAACGCGCGAGGGATCACTGCACCCTCACACCCAAAATAAAGGCGTGGAGGACCACTCGCACCCCCACAACCAAAACGACTGCGTGGGGGATCACTCGCACCCCCTCCCAAAACACCACCCAGCAAACGATGCGCGGGTCACAACTGGCAAACCCGCCCCCCGCAAAGAAAAATTCAAAATCGCATCGTCCGTGCGCTCTCCGTAAATCGTCCGCGCACTCCTCGGATACCGTCCGCGCGCTCTCCAGACACTGTCCGCGTACTCCTCGGACGGTGTCCACGGGCCCAACACAACAGTGCAATTCTGAGCTCATACTCGCAGCGTTGCCCATGCAGGTGGTCGCACCTTCAACAACAATGCCAGGCATGTCATGCTGAGAGCCGCCTTCGCAATCAGGAGGTCTCCATCCTGATAAACGACAAACAACAAGCTGGGACGACTGCAGCGGCACATGAACTGCATGAAATGAATAACAGATGGAATTTATCTTGGGAAATACTCTGTCGCTGTTACTTGAGTCCTCGAGGCTGGCTAGAACCCACATTGGCCAATGGCTCATAGAAAAATGGGACGCCCATATTTCCTGAAAAGGGCGGCCGGACGTGTTGCCAAGTTTATGTAAGCTCTATCGAAAGACTATCGCCACTTGCCTGACTTGACTTCTGAGGCTCGGTAAATCAAGATGGCGGGGATGCAGTAGGCGGCAGCGACAAAGTGAAACGAAGCAGTACACAAAGAGCCACTGTACTTGCCCACGCAGCATTGTGCTGAATGATCAGATGTGCCAGCTATATCCCCCCACCCCACCCCACCCCACCCCACCCCACCCCACCCCTTGACGCGTTTATCCTCGAAGCCTATATCTTCCAAAGACATCCACCGGCGCAACGACCCCGTCGTCCTTTGTACGCCTTTTTACTCTTTCCCTCCATTTTGCTTGGTGAAGTTCGTTTCTGTACTTGTATCCTGTTGGTACACTATTGCCAACGTGACTTTATTTGCTGAATGCCCGGGCCAACTGTCAAGCCCGTTGAAGGCGAGCGCCTTGAAAGGTTGTCAAGCCATGGTGCCACCAACGCCCAGCTTGCCACCGTCGTGCAAGTGCACCCATACGCTATGCCTTCACCTGTGAGCTCTGTGAGGTGCAGCTACCTAGCATATAAAGACTGGTGCATTTCCCAGAGCTGCAGGTGCACGTGTCGCTATCCTGCACCCGAGCACAGTACGTGAAACGCCCTCCGCAGCTGTCCCACAGCGACGGAGTGCGAAGCGCTGGGTGGCCGTCTGGGGGGCCCGTTAGAGATGTCGAAACAGATCTTTCCCTGACGGTGCACCTGAAGTTAATGACTGGTCGCTTGAGCCACCCCGCAGCCGGCAGCCCCACCCCAAGTTCGGAAGATACGCCAAGAAGCGTTCATCCACCCAGGAACCTTAGTTCCCTGCCAGAGGGAGTCTCTGAACCTGGCTGCCGATTCATGCCATCGGCTCAACCACCCAACACCGCCCCCGGCAGAATCCGCAATAGACAGTCATTGCATTCATTCCCCACAAAGATGGCTGGAGTTTCTGAACAGTGCACCGTGAACTGTGGCCTGTCTTCTTCGTTCATTGTCAATTCGTTCCTGCGTCGGCCGCGCTGGTTTCGGTTCCACCATGTGCACACAACGATTGAAGCTGGTCATCGAAATGCAATGATCCATGAAGTTGCCACCACAAGGGTGGCATCGCGGGCACCACGCCTGCGCGAGGAAAATATGCGTTTGCAAGCTGGGCCCTGATAACGACGGGATTGAGGGGTTTAGGTTTACTGTGCTTCGCACAGTGGCCATTGTTGTGGTTGTGTAGTTGTGGTGATCTCCCAGCCAGGCCTTGGTCGTTGGTCATCAAACATGAAAGCAATATGCGGCTTCACGAACGCACACGGTGCCCCGCCAGCACCCCAGATCCTGCTGCCACGCAGTTAGTGTCAAATTCAGTTTCACGTGCGCCAATGTCGCATGCAGCAAGAAGGAACCCTCTTCACAAAACTGTCTGTGCTTCTCGTCAGCACCAATCCCCCAAGCGCAATCAAGCCTGTGTGGCCCCCCCGTCGAGCCAGCCGGCCATTCGGTAGAGTCTCCGGTCATGGCGAGACGCACAAAGCCAGTCCGGCCAGTGACCAATCACATTATTGGACACCTCCCCGGCTCCGGGTCCAGCCCTTGCGGCCGCGTCCGTTTCCATTCTTCCACCTGCTCCCTGGACGCCGGGTCCTGCTCCGCCAGCGCCTTGAGAACGAGCGCGGCCTCGTCGCTGCTGTCGAATCCCTTGGGGTTGCCATCCTCCTGACCCTCCGCGGGGGCGGGCGCCTGCACGATCTGGATCAGCGGGTCGACCAGGGAGCTGCCCTTCACGCCCAGGACCTCCTCGCCGCGCCCCAGCACTCGCTTGTTCTTCCTTATCACCTGCCAAGTCGTCACCCAGTCTGTCAGTCCGACAGGGCACAAGTGTGCACGCAGGCATCACACTCGCAAATAGGGAGACCCACTGTATTACATTTCGAGTGCACCTTCACTGTTGGTTTACCTCACTCCCAGGCCCAACCCAGACTACTCCAGAGCATACAGTTTCAGCCTTAACGTGAGGCAGTGCATCCAACTGTGGAATATGACACTTCTGTGGCATCTTTGAACATACGGGAATGGTGCTCACATCTATTCTTGCTCAGTGGGGGTGCCAGTTGGTTGACATGCTTCCCCTCTATTACATCTTCTGTTTTGAAGAGAATCGTAGCTGTCCAGTGCAGGTCGAAATGACACAGAATCAATGGTAGCATCAACAAAATTGACCCCAACAAACGAAGGAACCTACCTAAACACACATAGGCAGGTCTCATGTTGTAAAACAAGCTGCCCATGAATTCCATGAGAACATACAGGCGAAAGGCAATCATCACCGGGCAATTGGGTGTTATGCTGGATGGACTTGCAATGCTATGGGGCCACAGCGCCAGCATCAGCTGAGCAAAGGGGATCGAATGGTGTGTGTGCATGTGTGTGTACATTGGCTGTGTGTGCAATTCCTTGTTACAACCAACGAGGCAAGAAACAAGACATGAAGGCCCACCTAAGAAAATCACCACAATACAATGTCGACCCGTTGTTCTACCTTGCGGCAGTGGGAATGGGACAATGGCCAACATAGAGTCCTAAAACAAAAACAACCAGCAGCGCAAGACAATGGGGGTGCCCATGTGGACAAGGCAAGAAAGATTAGTGGCGACAACATGCGGTCCAAGCAAGACAGTATGTTGGCCGCGTGTGATGCAATGCATACCACAAAGCCAAACGTTTTCAAAACGTTTAAGTGCAGACGGCGATCAACTTTGTGTGCAAGCACCACCAAGAAAGCGCCTTTTCACCTGAAACATCGTGTGCACTGCTGCATCCCGGGCCCGTGTGTCCCCTGCAGACATGCAATCCAACTTTTTGTAATATTCAATTATTCAAGATTGCAAAATTCGGTTTGCAACTGCAACCCACGTGTCATTCTGCCAAGCCTCGAAACACGTGCCACACACAAGGTCAGCAGAATTGCCTGCGCAACAGCAGATTTCATCCTACAACAATGGATGTTGGGAGGAGAACGTACAGTTCAGGGGTGCCAACATCTGTTATTCCTGTATTTACAATCATATGTTGCGGCATAAATTGCAGGCACCCATTGCTCATCATAGATGGCGTCCAGGCAGTTCAAACGTAATAAGACTGCACAAGCTTCTTCACCCTGCCTCACCTGTGATGATCATCTGTGCCAATGGCTGCAGCAAGCCCTCGCCAACAAGAAACGCCTGTGCAGCAGCGCCAATACAACAAGTGATCATACAACACCTCTGGTCACAAAACCCTACTGACATTCATTGTATGCTGTGTGTTTATTTCACTACAGCATTATTCTGTCATTGAAATTGCTGTCTACATGCAGCTTTCAGTGGTTGACCTCCAAATCAAGACCCAGTAGTGCGCAGGGTTTGGGATGCTCTTTCTCCATGCAGTGAAGTGTACACACCATCACGCCATGTCTTACCAACATCGAGCAGGTCGTTGAGTAGTGGGCGGAGTGAGAACAAGTTGCAACTTCATTGCCACGATGATGGCACCCAACAAACTCCACAACCCACAGACATTCTGTTCGTTGCTTTATTGTGGCGTCTCCTTCGTTTGCAACAATCAAACTAACTTTCATATCGGGTTGTGCATATAGCAGGGTGATGCTGTGGCCTGGATTGGGAGATGAATTTGACCATTGCAAACAAGGGGGGCATCTCAACACAGCAATGACCACACTCTGTATACAGGTCGAAGAACATGCAAGGCACAACCGGTGCAGCAGATTGTCCAACTTGCTCTGAATTCACATGCAGCTCAACGTCAGTCGGCGTTTATCCACCGTTTGCTAGTGACTGCAAGTTCAACAAGGTCAACAAGGTGCAAGACCATCTCAATTTGACTTGGAGTTGAGCATCCACCCTCAAAGCTCAAGTAATAAACGACACAATGTTGGGTGTTTCAGCTGAAGGCTACTCAGCTCAAGTGTCCTGGCTCGGGAAACCAGTGCCACAATAGGCAACATGCCTCCAAACAATGCAGCCCATGAGGCTGAAGGATGGCATGCATTCAACTAAAATAAACCATGCAAAATGCCTTGCTATAAATTGCAGATTTGGGATATCTTAGGCGCTTGAATGTCGGCAGTTGTACGTTCTATCATTTGCCAGATCTGGCCTGGGGTTTCCTATGTGCCAATTCTCCATGGGTGCCCACTTGCGTGACCTGCACAATTGCATATACTAAGACGACTCGTGATTGCTACACCCCAGCAACATCCGCGCCAATGATGGCCCCCAATTGAATGCCCAAATGCATTTCCTCCCAGGGTGACAGAAAGAGCACCAGGTGTCACACTGCAATCGGCACTCCAGCACCCTCTAGTTGTCTTGCATTTCTGATCGGATGTCCATAATTGCAAGCACTTGACAAGCATCAGTCGTTCCCTACCATGCCCTGGCTAAAAGGCCATGAAACCCCTCAAAGTCATATCTGTCAAGCGATGCAACTGCACAATGTGCCAGAAACACAAAGCTCTCTCACAGGGTGGCAACAACTGCAGGGTACTGCAAATTTCACATCGCCGAGTGGAAACAGATGGCATGAATATCCACGCCATGCTACTTTGCCTCGTTCATTGTAGAGGCACTCAACACTAGTCCCCACCCACCCACCCACGTCCAACCCCTTCCTGCTTGGCCTCCCTACTGTTTACTGCTGCCACACCTGGCAACCTAAACTCTTCAATTCTAGGGCACTGTGTCCTATCCAGCCCGCTTGACCCACATGCTTTCAGATACATCATAGCCCATCCCATTGCCTTGAGCTCAGAGTCTCCGCGATCCACACCCTTGCAGCACTACTGCAGCTCGCATAGAATGAAACTTAACAAGCACAAACACTAATTTTAGAGTTCAGCACTCGAGCACCCCTTGTGGATGCCTATGGTTGATCAATGCAATCTACAGATGTAAGGAACAAGGTTTGCTGCACTTCATTGCGGATTTCAGCACCGCTGCACCATCATCAAACAATCAAAATAATGCCCGTCCAGAGACAGCTGGAAACTACTCCAGTCTGCTGCCTACACTCCAACACAAACTATGGGGGTCATCGTAGGCCACCTGGCCTGTCTCACCAAACTGCAAGGCTATTTGTTGATCTAGTTCCAGCCCTGCTAAACCTTCGTCCTCAAGTGCCATGCCTGGCCAATCTAATCCCTCACAAGCGTTTGAGAATGGCCTTCAATGCGACCAAAAGGGCACCTTTGTGCTTGCCACAAAGGCCACATCCTCTTGTCCAGGCAACGATGGCTGAACAACTTGCCAAAACGCAGCCCCACTAGAAAGCAACGCTACGATCTTAAATTGCTACAAAATTCGATAACGCGCAGTACTCCTTCCCATGGGCCCTGGCTCCCCACTGACTGCACTGGCATTCCCAACACTTCACAAGGAGCATTCCCAACAATTCGCAAGGAGCAACACACCCCCGAACCGCAAGCAGCATAGTTGGATCATCAGCATATCAAACCCAGCGTGGTGGGCACACCGCCAAAGACTCCTTTGTAGCGCTTTGTCAAGCACTGGGGGGTCCTTGCTCACAGACGCCGTCTCATGTTCCTACATCAGCGTAGACTCCTGCCAAAATCTGGGCGTCGCTTTCCATATCGCGAGAGTTTACAGATTCATTCAGTCCACCGCCACAGGATTGAGAACAACTGTCCCAGCATTGAAACCACCACCCACCGAGGCCGCCGGCCGCTCCTCGCAGATCGTCCCCAGCAGCACCACGGCGTCCACCTTCTCCCTGCCCTCCGCCGCCTTGGCGATCTTCAGCACGGGCATGAGCGCCTGGTCCAGGACCACGGCCACGTCGTCGGTCATCTCCAGCCCAGCCATCAGCGTGTCCAGGAACTCGAGCGCCTCTGCGCGGCCGTCCAGCAGGCGGCCAAGCAGGGCGCGGAGGAACGCCAGCTTGTTCTCGTGGTTGTAGGAGCAGGCGGACATCAAGGCGTCGTACGCGGCGTCCTTGGCGCTGGCGGACTGGCCGAACAGGAGGTCGACAAGCTTCCTGCGGAGTAGGGGCCACGGTGACAAAACGGGTCAAAGGATAACCGAAAATCTCGCGCGGATCGGTGCCAAACGGGGAACAGAATACCTGAGGCGCGTCCTCGCCATGTCCACGCGTCCGGGTGCATCCCCGTCGGCGCTCGATCGCCGCTATAACCAACTTGCCATAGGGCGCAACTGCAAGGCCGGCTTCTTGATGCCCACTCATTCTCATGCATGCCGAAACGCCTTTCTAGCCCACTGAAGAATGCAAAAGTCTAGGCCGCTTGGGGGGCGGGGTGGGCGCGGCGCACGCTATGGTTCCCGCTCCTTGGAAGCCGCCCAGCGCCACGCGCCAGACGCCCGACACATTCGTCGCCATCCCAACAGATCATCCCGACCACCACCATCCCAAATTGCAAAAACACAAACACACACCCCATCCATCCCGAATAGCCAACCTAACAATCCACCACAGCGCAAAATTCCCCAAGACGACTCGCGCACAGCCGCCCAGCGGGCCAAGGCCGCCCACCTGACGCCCTGGACCTCCTCAAGCGTGCCTTGCACGGGGTTGAAGCTGACCTGGTCCGGCCGGCCGCCGTACCCCACCTCCCGCCCGTGCCTCAGCCTCACGGACACCGTCTCGCTGTGCGCCACCAGCGCGCCGACCGCGCCCGCCGCCTCGACCGCCACGGCCTCGTCCCCCTCGCCCAGCATCCCCACCACCGCCTCCACGGCGCCCTCCGTCGCCAGGTCCTTCTGCACCAGGTAGGAATCGTCCACGGGGTTGATAGCCTCGCGCACGGCCTTCAGGGCGGCAATCTTTTGGTCTGCGGTGCCGGACTGGCGCGCGGACTCGAGGGCGGACACCAGGGCCAGGATCGGGTCGTCCACGTGGTCATCTGCCTCCGTGGCCATGGCGATGGGTTGAGGAGGGGGCGGATTGGCCGACCGAGCGTGATAAGTACGGCGGGACTGTGCGTGGGGTGGGTGGGTCTAGGGCAGAGGGGACGGGTGGGTGGGTGGGTGGGTGGGGCAGCCACGCGTTTTGGGCGCGGGGTGTGTCGAAGTGGGCGAGGGCCTCGGGTGTATGAATGCAGGACGGCGGCAGGGAGGGCTGAGGGGTGGGTGACTCGTGACTGGTCGCGCCCAGGCTGGAGATTTTCTTCCACGTCGGACGTAGGTGGATGCATGGGAAGTCGTCTCGCCCTTCCCGGACCTGGCATGAAATTAGTCGGCCTGTCTTTTCCGTGAAGATCCCTTCTTGTTTCAACACCCTGAATCCTAAAACCACTGACCCACTGACCCGCTTTGGCCTTGCCAGCGGAAGAAGAGGGCACCCTCACGGAAAGACAGAGGGACTAACATATTTCTGAGAGGACGCGCTGTGGCAGTTGTCAACCGTATTTGTGCGCCGCCAACGTGCTGGTGCCAGCAGGTTTGCCTGAACAAAACGAGGAATTTGAAACGCGGTTCGCTTCATTGCTGAAAGAGATGGATCTTGGTCAGCACAACAGATGTCAGCTGTGAACATTGATGCTCACCATTCGCCAAACCAGCTCCATTAGCTCAAAGAAATGTCCAATTACCCGAAATTTTGGTAATCGCCGGTGTGCAGTGATGACACAAAACACCAATGACGTTGTAATTCTGTTTGTTTGGTGCCAAGGTGCGAGCGCCTGCGTATTTTGGAAAGAAGCACACGACCCTGAAATGTAGATATTACACCGAATGTTGCTAGAATGAAATCTATTGCATTCCATTACATCAATTGGGGGCTAGTTCGGCATATATTTTTGAAATCTGGGGAAATTAGACATTCCCCTGTGGCTTGAATCGTCACCAGTCTGTTTCGAACGATTGTCATAGTCAACATTGTCAATTTGCAGTGGGGGAGGTCCCCTATTAGCATTTTCCCAGTTGCTTTAAATGGTCTCCCAGAAATACTTGGATTTGACGCCTTTCGAAAACAGGATCACCCACCAAGGACTTTCCATTCTGTCAGTGTGGACTTTCCATTAAATGATTGGTGTCCGCACCTTGACTGGCCACCAGTTCGCCTTAACATCAACAAGTCATAGTGTGAACATCTGCTGCCTGGTGATCGCCGAAGGCAAAGGAAAAGAGCAAGAGGAATGAATTGAGCACTGAAAGCCGGTGTTTACTGTAAATTGCAGGTAAATCGACAATACGCAGCAGTGGTAGTCCGGTCATGTCGTTCAGACATGGTAGCTTGCATCTTCAATGCAGTACTCCTGCACTGGCAGCACACGTGTCCAGGAAGCCAAGCGACCCGAGTGGGACGGAGCGTCAGGACACCTGGAACGCTGTCGCTAGCCAACATGCCGCTCTTCGCATCGCGTGCAAGATCATTCCGCGGCAGTGCCCACAGATTGGTCATGGATCGATGGATGGCCACAACACATGAGGATGGGCACTGATGCTTTTCAGGTCGATTCTGCGTACGAAATGCAACGTGGAAAATGTTTCTGACCGTGAAAGATAGTCATTGGGGCCCAGGTGGCGGTTCAATCCGTGGAGCTCTAAGAGGATGATGTGATGTGGGCGACATGTACAGGAAGGTCCAGCGCCAATGGCCAACCTGCCCATCGCCACACTGCAGCTCGGATCGAGTCGACGGATTGAACGCCGTTGGATGGCTGAGCACACCGAGCCCTTGTAGTTTGCGAGATTGCCTGAGCTTCTTGACAAGCGCAGACAACATTGAGTTTCGAGAGCAAAGGCACTGACTCAGGACGTCCTGTTGACAGGGCTAGATCGGGATGATAGGAACGCCATCAAGGGACACGGCAGGCCGTACTTGGGGGAGTTCTGGAATGTTGGCCAGCGTTTCCGGCGCTGTGAAATGCACTGAATGCCTGAGCGTGGTCGGTGTGACAGTGGCTCCTGCACGTTGCACTGAAGGCTCATGGCCCCGACAGAATGCCGCTCCAGAACGCAAGTCGACCCGTGTCTACATGCATGAAGGGGTGGAAGACCTGGTTCGATGCGCGCTGGGCAAAGACGAACAGTTTCAAATTGTAGACGTTTGCCTGGTAAGGGATGTGTCGCAGGCCTTGGGGCACAATTGACTCGCTGCAATTGCGACCTTCCAGGGATAGAAAGAAAAAGGCAGATCGATTCAGTCAATGTGATTGGAATTATAGGGGCGACATGCTCAGGCGACGGGCGACCGGAGAGAAAGTGTGAAGTGCACCAGCGCGTGAATTGGTGCTTGGCATGCAGTGGGTGTGCAGAAGCTGAATAGACCTACCTAGGGAAAACAATGGACATACTGGATGTACCTAGAGGCTATCATTATTGATGAGATGCGCCCCTTTTTGGAATGTTCAGAAGACAAATAATGAATATGCTGGGCGAAATGTCATTATTTTCACGAGCCAAATGTCGTGTGTTTGCCTCCTATTATTACCATATATTTTTGATGCTGGAGGTGAAATCAATAGTTCAGAATCGTGTCGAGGGCTGCGGGTGCAAGCGTGCATAACTATGCTCGCACGGCATGATGTGATAATTTGGTAGCCATGAGCCGTGGCAAATTCGATGAGGCACTTCTAGACAAAAAATGGGACAGAAAAATTTCAGATCATGCCGCGCCATGTGTCGGCCCACACTGTCCAGGTTGCCGAGGATTGGACAGGCGATGCAGCGCACTGCGCGAAGGCCCCATGTTCTCTTTAATTCCCCTGAACTTCTTGGAGGGGCCCTGCCCCAGCTTAGATTTGGACAGAAATTGCATGTGCGACGGTCTAAGGCGCTCGTTGAACGAACAACAATCGGACTCGATTGCAAGATGCAAGCGTTTTCATTAGCAGCTGCCTTCTGCGGTCGGTGGACAGTTCGTGAGCGATAGCCTGTTTTGCACCCCGCCCGAGTCGAAAGTGTGCTTCTCGTGCGGTGGACATGTTGTAGGAGCCAGAGGAGTGTTTGCGTGCCCAAGCAGGACTCCATTACTCTCGAGTGGCCACGACAGGACGTCTCCCAAATCTCGCTTGCTTGGTCCACATCCATGCCCAACGTAATTTATGAATTCATTGTAGTCGATGTAGTCGATGGATCCCGTTTTAATCGATGGAATTGATGGATTTTGATGATGCCCAATGATGCCGCGATTCACGGCACAGCGGATCTGGGCCACCCGACCAGCACCTGACCTCAACGATCATCATTCTGGCTGGCGCCTCTTACAGCTTGCCCAGCATTAACCGCAAAATGGCAGCAAGTTGATCAGATTTAACGCAAGAGGAAATCAGAAATTTGGGCTCGGACATTGATGACCACGCTGCGTTCCAGGATGAGGGTGGCAAATCCCTTATCGTATACACAGCATTACTTTGCGGGACTCATGCCTTCAAACCCCCTTCGGTACGCGCTCTCACATCCCACCCTCACTGTCGCCCACCCACTGCCGAGGTGGCGGTCAACCGCTTTCATGCAAGGCAGCGCATGCGCCAACAAAACCTGATCAGGGCTACGGGCTGCCATGCCCACCTCATGAAAGGCTACTGGCCGACCAACCGCCGCTTCTTGTTCCTAACAGAAGACGAGCTGATGCGGCTGACCACAACCGACCAAACACACCCGGGCAACGCCATGTCGCCCGACTGATATTCCACCCCACACCTTAGTAAGGCATCGATTGAGACCACTCTCGTTGGCCCTGCCATCCCTCCAAGGCGCGGTGATGGGTGGCACAACTCCTTACTAAGACGCCGGTGGCGCCACGCCCACCACGGCACAGCGGGCAGTGCGCACCACTCTCCCACACCCGTGATCACCACGTAATGCGTACACATCAACGCCCCTGGCGCCCCATTATGAGTGGCACCCGCCATGAGCGTGAAACCCACCCACTCCAACACCCATGCCAATGTAGTCCGCCATTCTGCATCATGCCAACAGCGAGTTCCGAGCAGAGTCACGCACATCATGCAACGGCACTGAGAGACAGACCCACGCAATGCAGCATGGGGCCCGCGGTCGCCTGCTGAAGCGCCATTCTCACATGTCCATCAACGACCAGACGATACAACGCACGGACCACAATAAGACCTTGCACGATCCCCAGGACTTGTATGCCGGTCTCTGCCCCGCTGGGGTGGGCAGCCCGCATTTGTAACATCGTTTGTAAACATCGGATGGCGTGGCTGCGTCACTATCAATATTGCCCGAATCATGCCATGTCAAACAGATTTCCAGTGTTCACCCTGTGCCGCTCAAAACACGCACCCAATGCCCCCAAGGCAGTTTGCAATGAACGCAGAGATGGTCAGTAATGCTGGCCATTTTGCGGGCAAGTTGCAACACGCCCCTCGCTCTGGTGCGCGTTTTCAGCCCCCACCAATGACGCCTTCATTTGTGGCCGTTTGCCCGTTCCCACACCGGAATGTACGGGGAATGCGCCCGCCCCCCAGCCCCCCTGCCTTCCCGTACTTAGGCCCCCTCTGGCCCGCCTCGGGCCTAGTGCTGCCCTCCGGCAGCGCCCGCGCGCTCCAGGATGGACGCCGGCCGCAGGGACGTGCAGGCCGCGCTGGAGCCGCTGCGCCGGCGCGCTATGGACCTGTACGCGCTGTTCGACGATTCTGAGATCGCCGCCGAGCGCGCGTGGCGCGACGAGCTGCCCGCGCTGCAGTCCTTCATAGGCGCCCTGTCCAAGGCGCGCGGACTGGTGCGGGATGAGATCAAGGAGAGGGAGGAGGGCCAGGAGCGGGGGCGGGCGGCGGCGGCGGAGGGCGGGGGCCGCCTCGCCGTTGAGGCGGGCGGGCCGGAGACGCCGCGGGTCCGGTCGATCCGCGACGACCTCAATCGGCTGCGGGAGCAAGTGAGGATTGGGTCCGGCTGGCGACGGCAGATTTTCGCTTGGGAAGATTTCCACGGAGGGGATGGTGTTTCGGGCGTGTTGGGGATGTTTGGGGTTGCGATCTCCGGTGTTTGAGAGGGGTTTGTGGGGGGGATTGGGGAATGGGCATTGGGCCGACGGTGCACGGCGGTCGTGGCCGCAGGTGGCTCGGGTGGAGGGCGAACTGCGGGATCTGAGGGTGAGGATGAACCAGGCGCAGCCCGCGAAGGAGATGGAGATCTGCGAGGCGACGGTAGCGGTGCTCACGGTGCGGCTCCCGAGGGGGACTCGCGCGGGCCTACGGGCCCCGGAGGGCGGCATGTGCAGATCCTGCTCTGTTGCGAAGCAAAATAGGGTTCGAAATGGTGCGCCCTGGGGCGCGTTGACTTGAGGTCTGGAACACACGCTCCTGGTTTCTTGGGTATTGGCTGGGTCGATCGCTGCAGACTGCGATACAAAGTCTGTGGTTTCAGCTGAAGGGATTTGTTCCTTATATGCCGATGCGGGCCCTCGCTCTGACTAATCTGGGCTGGATGTCCACCGAGACGTGTCTGAACTGGCGCTTGCGCACCTGATCAGCGGCATATGGCGCCCCGCACGCTCCCCGGCTGGCAATTGAGGCACTCAGTCCTAATGCTGTGGTCCCGTCTGTTTGGCAGGACACTCGTCGATTGTGCCTGAAGGAGGCGGGAAGGCTAGAGTCTCTTTTGCAGAGGGAGGAGAAGTCCAGAAAGGCGCAACGATCAGGCAAGGACGACCAAACGGAGCTCGCAAAGCTGAAGGAGCAGCTGCGAAGGACGGATGCAAAGATCGACAGGGCCAAGCAGTGTTCCTATTTTCCTGCAGCGAAGGGCTACAGGTGCAGTACCTTTGAACTAATCCTCAAAGTCTGCATGGTTGTCAGAAGAGACAGCGCTCCTTCAATCAAATTAGTCTGGCTTGATGTTGGCCAGGACAGCGTGCAAAGAATTATCCGATTCATGCATGCGTCTATGCATTCCAGCATCACCGCCAATAAGTGGCTTTCATGACAATGGGCAACAGAAGTTCCCTTTCAATATGTTTGTTCAAGGGTCGAGCGGTCAATGCTTGCGATTTGTGACTGAACAAGGCAGGAATTATGGCTAGCAAAATGTTGCACGCATGGGTATGGGCCAGTTTAGCATTATACTTGGCAATCGACAGTACTCACAGCCTCCTGTTGCCGATGCTGTGCATTGCAGGTTTCGTGCCGGCAGCCTCGGGGTGTATGTTGGCGCAAGGGACCTACAGCTGTCCGAAATATCTGGCGGCTTCTTGCTAGAGGCCACTCCATCAACTGAGTCTGGCGACAGAAGGGTTGCCAAAGTGAAAATACACATGGCAGCTAGCCAAAGCAGTCCAAGGAGGCCAACCAGGCAAGTGGCAAGGGAAATGGCCAGGGTAACCACTGTGCACTGTGCTTACAACATGCAGACTTACAAATCGGGAAATGAGAATTGGTAGCGGCCAATGCCCAAAGCACATTTTGGTGCACAAAATTCCAAGCACAATTCTCCTCTGGACAAAGGAAATGTCATGGAGATTATCCCAGACAAGTTGCATGCGAGATGTTGCTGTCGACTATTTGCTTTTGCTCACTGGTTGCTCAACACTGAGATGGTTCCATTTTGGGGCTGAAGATGCTGCTGTGCTGATACAAGGCCGCATGCTGCTCTTGTACTGTATGGCCGGAGCAGTCGGCCACATCACCCTCTTACTGGGCAGGGTGCGGTGCCTGCCAGCCATCATGATCTGAAACCCTGCTGATCACGTTCTCCACTCTCTGCACCCCGAACCTCGCGTATGCTGAACCACAGGAGGATGAAGTGGTCTTCCTGGTCGGCTTCAGGTGATCTGCCGTCAGTTCAGCACATGCCCAGTCCAACACCCAAAGCAGGCTCACCAGAACGTGCACCCAGCGATCAAGGCACTCCCAGAGTGAGCGAGGATGCTCAGAATACCCAGCCCCGGCCCATCGACAGGGAAAAGGGTGCTTTGTCCCCTTCTCTTGTTGACAATGCTGGCAAGATGGGCAGCTGCATGTTTGATCAAGAGGGCTTCAGCGTGCCCATGGGCATCCAGGCATCCATTTCTTCTGGGTCCAAAAGGTCCAGGGTCAGGAGGACGGCCTTGAAGTTCATCAACAAGATCGCATCCAAGGGCAAGTACAGCCGGCCCAAGCATGACGCCCACCCTGGCCAGCCCTCCCCGCCTCACGGAAATGGACGGGGTGTGTCTGGTGTTGGGCCCTCTGCCAGTGTCGACGCGCATGCCAAGAGGCCTGGCCTTGGGAGCAGGTTCTTGAGCAAAGTGGGCAGCAGGGTGTGGAGAGGGTCTAACAAAGAGCACAGCCGTCCACAAGACTGGTTTGAGGCTGTGGATTTGGCCAATCCACACGGTGGTGGTGATGCTGAACAGCAGCACAGTGAGGCTTGGGACCGCATGAGTCAGTTAGAAGGGAGTGTGTCAGCGGAAGGGAGTTCTGCAGCTGAGAGCGGAGGGGAGGAGGCTGATGATAGTTCTGACGTCGTTCGTCATGGCCAACCAGAGGAATCAAATGGAGAGCAAAATGGTGGCTGTGTGGTGCCGATCCAGGAAGACACTGGCGTGGTAGGTTCACTGCCTGACTCATTAAGAAAGCCTGAGGCTCATGGCACGGAAGACGTGGCTGTGCAGTCGGCAACAGAAGCCCAAGGTGTTCCTGTCGGTGCATCAGAGGGCGACCTGCACGTGGCCTCTGAGTTGCGAGACCTGCACCAGGATTATGGGCCTAGTCAGGCAGTGGGGGCACAAACCTTGGCATTGACAGAGGAGACTGAGGGGGCAGTTAATGCAAAGAGGGGTGACGGGGCTGAATTGGGGCAATCACAGGATCAGCAGTCGCAGGGAGATGGGCTGCCCAGCACAAGTGGGCAGGACAGCTTAACTGGGGAGCTGAGGCGCACAGGCGTGTTTGTTCGTGTGCATGGCGAGCACGTGGAGCTTGTGGGGGAGAAGGGGAGCCATGTGCCCAACATGACTGTCATGGACATCGTCCTTGAGGTTGAATGTGTATTCTCCCTGGAGCTAGAGTACTCAGCATCCAGGGGCTGGCAGGCGCCCACAGGGATAACACTGGAAATATTGAAGCTGAAGAAGTGGGTTAGGGGCAACTCCATGCCGCTTCCAGGCGCGCTCATCCGGACTTTGCTGAACATGGTGCTCCCAAAGGTGTGGCTCCATTGTGCGTCAACCATGACTTGTGCACCCTTGATGTTTAGAAGTTTTGGCAGTGGCTTGAAGTCTGCTCAGCAGACAGGATTGGGAGCAGACTTGATCTGGCTACTGTCTTCCATTGCATCCAATAAATATGAGCTGTCTCTTTGCTGTGTGACACTTGCATCTCCTTGTGTGCCAACTAAAAACACAGCCGATCAGTGCACTTACAGCATGAATCCTTTGGTGGTACAACATACCACGGCGGTGTGTGAATGGGACACTTGCATGTTGGTTGTATGTAGTAAGGTCCTTGTACCAATTGGTGCATCCACTGCTAGTGCATTGACAAAGAAGGATCGATGTCAGAATTATGTCATACAATGCCTGTCCCCTGCCCATCGGGTTTTTCAGGTTGGCATGCATTCGTTCCATCCTCCAGTGTGCACGATGCCCTGCTGAACTGTTCTATTGGCAGTGCACTGCCACAAAGTGCACACTGTGCACTTCTTGGTCCCCAGCAGGACCAACAGAAACGCTTCTCATTTGCTGCATGGACATCAGCACAGGGGAAACTTTCAATTCATGCCGATGCACAAGAACAGAGCTGACCTGTCCCTATGCTCGCCAGCTTGTGGAACGAGCCATACTGGCATCCTTGCCTGTCGAGCTTGGGGACTACATCATTGAGGCAGGGCGCCACATGTTTGTCAGTGGGGACATCGCGGCCATTGGGCCACCTCTCTCGTCGACTAAAGCCATCTTGTCAGCGATGCCGCCAAAGGGGAGCCCCACCAAAGTCCGCAGCCACCAGGTGAATGAAGAGATGGAGGAAGCAACGCAGCTTTCCATACTGCATGGTGATGCACAGGGGTCATTTTATGTGTCAGGTCGAGTAACGATACTGTGACAGTGCTGGAATGTGGTGATCTACAATGTATATTCTCAAGAATCACGACTTCTTTGTTCATTGCTGACAAGATTCCACATCACCATTGCTAAATGCATATCACGTGACTTTCTAGTTCAGAATTGTAGACCAGATTTCTATATCGATGACCAGGTGAAGGAGTGGGCATTCGCCCGAGAGGCACGCAACATCCTGCAAATAAGCAGCGAGCAGGCAGAAGCACTGCAGGCACTTTTTTCCTTCCCAACAGGCCTCCTGCCAACTGCCCGGCAGTGCTCCATCTCGGAGCTGTCCAGCTTCTACCTAAAGTACTGCGGATCAGAACTCTGGTGGCCGCTGTGCAACATTTGGGAGGAGGGGCTGCACGTCGTGCAGCAGCTGCAGGTGTGCAGGAGTCCGTGTTTGTTCAAGTCCTCACCACATTGCCTGTGATTTGTGTGTCCTTGTGGCGATCGCTCCAGTTGTGCCTGTGTAGCCGATGTCAGGCTGCAATTGCTCCTCAACCCATTTTCTGCACGGCAGATGACAGTGTCCGGGTCAGCCCTGGTGGGACCACTTTCATGCACAGGATATGGCCTGGCGTGACCATTGGTGGTTGAGGTTGCATATAGCATGTATTGAATATTGTACAGTCGAGCTACTGAAAGGTGGAATACTCCCTTGCGTACAGGTATGTGGGCACATTCCCAAATTACTGCGTACTTAGTCCTGTACCCGCACTGCCTGGAAGGTGCTGCTCTGTTTCGGAAGTAGATAGACTATTAATTTGTCAATGCGTCAGCAAGAACAATTAATAGTAATGTACGAGCACATGAGCAAATCCTTTCAATTTCCTGAAGTGATGCTCACAACTGAGTTTCCCCTGGCAACGAGGTCCGCTGTTCATGTTCCAGGTACCGCCAATGGGTGTAACTAAGGATAAGATAAAGACATGCATGATAGAATTGTGAATTCATCTGTCCACAGCTGGTGTGACAATCGGTTGTTTCAGTCGAACGGGTCGCCATGCAGGGAACCAGCTCGCCGCTCAGTTTCCATCAACTTATGGAGACCCGGATCGCCGCCCTGACACGCAAGCCAGTCCGGCTGCGCTGCGCGTTGAAGCGCCTGGCATGCATCGTCAATGTGGACGCAGCACTGAACGCAATCAGGGATTATTTCGAGCGATCAGCTAGAGAGGCCCAATCCTCTCAAGGCAGGTATGCTCAGAAGCAAGGGAGGCGTCTCTGAACTTGCGGGACGCAAGCATTCATTTGCCCAAAATACCCAACCTTCAGCATTGCATGTGGCAGACGCTTTTGTGCTGCAATGAAGCGCACCTCGGTCATGCTGCTCATTTACAAGTACCCAGATGGACATACTGTTGCGGAGTCAGGGCCGAATCATTCTCTCTTGATCTTGGTACCGTGTGCGCTGCAGATGTTCTTTGCGGCAGCTGCAATCCTGTTTTTTCGCTGCAATGCCTAAGTTTCCAATTGTTCAAGCTGCGTATTGTGCCAGCCTACATTCGATGCGTGAGTTTTCTGGCTGGCGACATGTCGTGCAGCCGCCGTACCACCTTGGCGCTCGGAGGCCCATGTCGCAGCATTGTTTCCACATTCGCCACTGACTGTCTCGCTGTTTGAAATCAGCTTGGGCCATGAGCCTGTGCCCTTTGAGCAGCAGCTTTCAGCCCTGGACGCTTGGCACCACGACATTAGCTCCAGTCTCTCCATGTTCAAGTCCAACTTCAAGAGCGCCACGTGCTCTTTCGTTTTCTGTGCGGATGCCCAGATGTTCCAAGTTGGTGTCGATTCTTTGCGTTACGAAGGTCCTGTCAGCATAAAGGTGAGGAGGGTTGGCCCCATTGCACCCCCGTCGTTGGATGGGAGCCCTCGATGCTGCTCTTGTGCTTAGTTGGACAACATTACGGCCTCCGTTCAGAACCAAATGAACAACTATTTGACAGGCTGCAGTTTTATCACGTACTCATTGTTTTTCTGGTGGAAATTGGACTAGTGGAAGCACATCAGCAAAAATAAACAGCTTCGCAAGAATGTGTCAGGAAATGTGAAATTCACTGGGCTCATATTTGTGTCATAGTCCTACGATGTTTCCTGCGATTCCCGACAAGTTTAGTACCAGACATTCCAGATCGTGCATATGAAGCACGCTGATCTGTGTCGGTTTACCGCTGTGTTTCTTGAACTGCAAATTTGATTCCCCGGTGCCGCAATACAGGTGCTCCTTTTGGCTTTCTCCCAAGCATTGCCATTCACACATTGTAAGCAAGGCATGCATAGCATGCACCAAATGATGATTATGGTTGTTCCTCTTCGTCCCCGCAAGCAGTTGTCACTGTTGCAGGGCAAGCTCCTGCACATATGCAAGGAAATAAGGCTGAAATCGCTCGCGAATTGTTTTGGCCAGGCTACTGGTCTCAAGTGCCTGGTTGATCCCCCTTCTTCTGCAGCCCTGAGCCGGCAGTTGTGATACCTACCCAGATGCAACAGCATCCCCGCTTCTGGTTCCGGAGATTTGGAAAGCTACCTGGCTGCTCGTCTTCATGTCTTCTGGCTGATTTCTGCTTCTGAACTCTCGCTCAGATCGGCAAAACTTCTTTCCTGTGAGAGAAACTATCCTCCCTGTGCTGCGACGCCCGCAATGCAATCCACTGCTGAAGAACGGCACCCAAGACTTAAATAACTAAAAATAGACTTAAATAGACATAAATAAATAGACATAAAGAGACTTAAATTTGCGCGATGTGTTCCATCTTTACACTGTTGGCGCTGCCAATGCCCGATTGTCGTTTTGTCGGGAGTGTTTCATACGCAGATCGACATTGTGTTGAATGGGCAATCCCCTGTCACTGATCTGCGCACGACTCATTCGCGGTGGCTGGACCAGGTTCCCGTGGGCACCAAGGCCAACGAGGACGGCACCCTGTCCTTCAAGGTGCGTGTCCCGGGCGTGGCCCGCGGCACGAAGTCGTCGCTGCTGGACGCCCTGGCGCAGGCCTTCGCGTCACTGCAGGCGGTCACCGGCGCCGATGACGTGCCCCAAGCCCCACCAGGCGGAGAGCACGTCCGGTGGGCCTCAGAGAACGGCGCGGGGCAGGGGCCAGGTGTTGGCGGCGAGGCCGCCGGCTGGGACAACGACCCATCTTGGGTGATGGGCATGCGCCGGGCGGCGGAAGCAGAGCCGCACAAGCCGTCGGGGGTGTTCGATGAGGGGCCGCTGGGGGAGGTGCTCGTGCACAGGTGTGGACCCCTCACACTGCGCTGCGAGCGGAGTTGTGTTTATGGAAGGCAGCTACTTGTGGGATTGCCTGTTGCAGAATGTTGAATGTGAAGGAACAGTGTTGAAACAGAACAAGTTGTCTGACAGTGCGATGCACCAACAGCGGAGCTGCGGCTGGCCAGGTTTCGCGAGTCGCCCGCTCTTTGAAGGAAGAAGTTGGTTGTGCGACCGTGACACGCGCTGTGAATTTCAGGCCCGTCATGTCTTGAACTGTTGGCACGGACTGGCGATGGTGTCCATGTTTGAGAACTTGTGCCCTATGACTCCAAAAGGTATGCTGTGCCACGCAATAGTGGGAGTGGGTGTGAATGGCGCCATGCGTCATGTTGTCATCCGGATGCACATGACGGCGTGGCGATTCCGCTCCACTCGCCTAACGACCGTACCAGCGTGGACACATTGGTGCATGACATGCGCGATGAACATCGGCAGAAAACGGACCCATCGTCTCAGAATTGTGCGCACTGTCTCTGCGCCTGCCTCGCCGTTTCCTTCTCGCTCTATTCTAGCATGACTTGCGGGCTGTGAGCGCCTGTTCTCGTGAGCACTTTTGCCTTTGTACATGCTTGTTATCATAGTATGTTCAGATAGTTTGTCACCCCAAAATCCTGACCATATTACAATCGCGAACGCCAGACCGTGAAGCGATTCCTGTGCCATTTTCCCCCCAGGCTGTCCGTGGGCATCAGCCTTAACGAGCGAAACCTCGCCGACGCCCTCTTGGGCCGGGAGGACTCCGCTGCCAAGGGGCCCTTGCTGAACCCCACCGGTGTGGAACAGCTGCTGGGCTGCCTGGGCGAGGTGCTGTCATGCAGCTTCGGCCCGGCCTCTCCCACAGATGGGGGCCTCGGTCCCACGAGCCCGTTCGTCGTCAAACTGGAGTCCACCGATCTCGCGAGGCTAAGGGTCGGCGTAGAGACCCTGGGCTTCCAGAGCTTCGTGTCCCCTGCGACGCTAATCAGGTGGGGCGCCGGCGATCCGATGCGACACTGGTGGGGTGAAGCAAATGCCGTTGTTCGTCTCGAAAACCTATTTGTATTGCAGCGGTCGGGGCGTTCAAGTCGCACAGCGCAGCGTGGGCTGCGCAACGGGCCTCAGCGGTAGTTACGAGTGTGAATAAGCGCCAACTCGGATACACGACGTCGCCGCTCAGGTCGTCACGTGCTCAGATCGAATGGCAGCAGATGCATGTATGCATGCCATGATGCAGTCGACTGCGTGGTTTTCATGTTAGTGTTGGCGGAGGCTGCCCTCTGCGAATCACAAACTCCTTGGGGCGATGGACTGTGACGTGGCCTCAACGCAGCCCTTACGTCAGGGTGATTGCAGCGTTGAGCTGTGGAAGTGGCCGCGAAGCATGTTTGCGATCGCAGACCGTCCAGACCCATTCCAATGCTCGGCACACAGATAGTACACGGCAGAGCACGGTCCAGGACTGCGCTGCATGGGCTCTTGCGCCGCCACCTTTTGCAAACGCGTGTGTCGCGCAGGATGTCGCATTTTCTGGTGCACGAGACGCTGTCCGCGTACCCGGGCTGCGACAGGCGCAAGCTCTTCTTGGTGGACCGCGCCTTCCGCCACACCATCTCCTACATTGACAAGCAGGCCCTCGACCTGGCGCTCTGCGCGCTGCTCAGGGCGGAAGTTAAGGGCGGCAGCCTGCTGGTGGCCCTGACAGAGTCCACTGAAGACGGCTGCATACAGGAGCCCATCAACGTCCTGAACGACGTGGATTTGATGACAGTCATCGACAGCCTCGCCATGATACAGGAGGACAGCGGGTAGCGATCGCAGTGGCACCGGGCTGGCATTCAGGTGCCTGCTGCTCGTGGAGCCAAGTTGGGACTCGAATTGGTGCTCGCTGCGGTCGCAATGTGCTGGCGGGCATTACATATTGCGACACGTGTTGTTTTCTTCCTTTTTTTCGGTTTCTTGCTTCCACAGTGGAAAGACAGCCAAGAATTCAAAGTAGGTTTCAGAACCAAGCAGGTCCTACCCATTGTTAAGTATTTGGCCGGCGCTTCGGCCATCTCGTGTTAAACGAATTGATGTCCGCAAAACCCGAAGAAGAAACGCAGACCCACGGAATATGCCACCACCACCCGGTTCTTGGGCTGGCTCAGACCTCCTTGACTTGCTTCGTGCATGTCGACGGTCCAACTGCTCTTCGCGGCCGCCAGCCCAATGTACATAGTATACCCCAATCCCTGAGCCCCATAAAGAATCCACACGCAGCTGCTGCTATGTCCGGCTGCCTCTCCCTCAATCGCCTCTGATCGTCCTGAAGGCGATCTTCACCTGCGCTCCAAAGAGGACGTCACCAATTCTGCTCTTGTCGAACCTGTCTTTGCAGTCGCAGTTCACGGGGAATCAGCAGAGGTAGACAGATCCACGGCACTGTTTTCGGAACGCGCAGCTTTCCCTGGACTTTGGACGCACGGCCCAGTAACAGCCGATGCGACAAGCAACCGCCGGGAAGTCCCCTTGGCTCATGCGCACAACCGCTTTATTCGTTTTGCATATTGGTAGACCTACAGATGCTGGCCACGCTGTTGCACTCACCAGACATTTTAAACAAATACTGAAGTTCAATATTGAGTTCAGGGACGCCACGCTGTACAGCAAATGCGCGAAGCACGGGTTGGGCATTCAACGGCATACACTCTCGCACAAGTCCCCACACCCACATAGCCTGTAGTTTCGCACCTGCTCCAGTGTGAGAAACATGACCACGTTCCACGATCCCAGGCGTCCGAAATTCGGCAAGAATCCTTTGTAGAAAGCCAAAATGCCGTCATTGCGGAACGTCTTGACGAAGCAGTCGATGACGCCCTTGTACGCTCCCTTCGTGTCGCCTGCACGGGCAGCAAAACTGGCATTAGCAACGTCTCCAACAGATTTGAAAATGGCCATCTTGCAGCTGTCTCATCACAAGACCATTAGCATCCACTGCCGGCGCCAAATATGAACAGAAAAGAAAAAACTCGAAATGTAGTTGGACGCAATGCCGGTTGTGCAGATAGAGGGCCCCCCAATCCTAAAACGCATCCAATTTTCCGACCACAAATCTTATCCATAAGCGAATCCGCCACTGTACATACTTACGAAAACAAGCCTCCAAATGATCGTCCACTCACCCATCACTCTCGACTTGACAACATCCACTGGCGAGCCAACACACACAGCAAAAAATCCTGCCCCCAAACCTGACGGGACACAGCACGCTCAGCATTTGCTGCGGCAAAACCACGTCAGTCAACTACGCTGCGAGGAAATCGACATGGGTGACTTTCACAATTGCAAGATTCTTGATGGCTGGAAATGGGAGAGTAACAAAGTGAGGGCTGTGTTGACAACCAACCGCCACGAAATCAACAGATCCCCTGTTCACGATGCGTCGTTGTGCTCACCGTTTTGCTGGGAGGGCCATACCAACCTGAATGCATACTTTCTTTCATTGCTTTCTTCCTTTGGGGGGCATAGGGGAAGGGCAGGCATCTGTCAAGACCCCATACTTCTCCACACCTGATGGACTCCTGCCTATGCAGTTCAATTTTGACACTATCCCCCAGAAGCTATTTGAAGCACGGCAATACGGTGATTTTGTCACGCACAATGTCAAACTGGCTGGGAGACTAAGTAGCCAAAAGTTGACCTATTAGGCCAGGAATACTTGTGACAGCCATTAAATCGAAGCATGGCAAGAAGAGTCCCAAGCCGTCCCCGGCTTGTGCGGAAACCTCCCTCAAGTTGGCAACCTCCAAGGACACCCCCAAATGGCTCAACTGATACCCATTTTGGGCTGTCCCCATCGACTGCCTTCTCTTGAAGCATTCCTTTCTACGACCGTTATGATTGCCGCAGCACTGGGCTTCGCCTCCCCTAAAGAATTCTGCGCTTCCCCCACAACACAGCGGCGTTCTCTTCTCTGTACTGAAATGGAGGTCGCGCTACTGGGGTAGTGTTGCTGAGTCATGCCGGAATCGGCGCCTCAAAATACGGCGTCTCTTGTGCAACCGTCATTTAACAAAAGCAGCGGAGGATCGAGGGAGGGATCTCCGAGCGTAGCATCCATTTCACTTCAAGCTTGCCAAAATCGACACAGCGTCGTCCTTAAGTTGTGCGTTGAGTAGGCAGTACCTAGATAGGCTTGTGTTTGTTGGTGGGCACGACAGCGGATGGATAATGTAAAAGGGACTGTCACTGTGTGATAGCATCTTGACCAAGCAGCGGTCCAAGCTGTGCGCATGAAAAGGGATTTAAACTGGAGGTTACTCGTGCCACAGATACCAAAGCCCAGCCGCAAATTGACGTGGCAATCATCCAACAGCACAACAGCAGATAGTAGTTACAGTTCAGTACTTGCAATACCCTTCCTTCCCTTTTCGTGACCTGTTCTTGAATCAGAGAGCGGATTCAGTGATGTAGGTGTAGGTGATGTGCATTTTTTGGTTTTCGTATATACCTAGCAGCTAGTTTACTGCATGAACTCAGTTGGCAATTTGGTGGGAGCAACTGTGCTTGTATGCTTGCCTGGACCCTGTTTGGGTACAATTTGAACCAATTCTTGGTCCGTTTCTTGCGATCATTCACTACCTCAGTTAGTTGCTGGCTTCCATAGTGACAGCATGCTGCAGGCGCTCCTTTCATCGTCTGGCCTGCAAGGACTATGTCTGGCCTTGGGGTTGTGAGCACAACAGCGTGCTTGTGGAATTACAATCCAGTGGACGTATTGCGCTGTAATCCATTATGCATTTCGATTTACATCACAATTCATGAACTGCTTCACAATGGAGACTGGATATGTCATGGATGACAGGATGCAGCAGTTCAGCTCTGTACAAGCCTGTGTGCAACGGCAAGGATCAGCAACTGTCGTGTAGACAATCGACAGGATTGAAATACCGGAAAACAAATGTGCACCCACACTCTGTCTGTGACAGTGTGGCCATGAAAGCAATCGATGCAAGAATACATTGTGTCAATTACCTGAAACAAGATGTGTAAAAACATTATCCCTGAAGTACCCTGTGGCGAGAAGGCTCTGCTTCACCTGAAATTCAGAAGCGTGCATGGACTAGCTTTAGTTGCATGTGGAAATCCCCACAGTCAACTTTTGTTTACATGTGTTTAGCCACTACCTATGACAACGGTTGTCCATCCCAGTTGCCATGGAGCAGTATTGTCGGGTGTGGGGGAAGCCGGCATTGCCAGATACGGTCAAAGACGATGTCATATAGAGCATGTATACAAAAATCTTGGAGTTGCCATTTCATCATGCTGCAGATGACACAAATACCAGACAAAAACATGATATCCACTTGTCCCTGCCTGAAAGTTTGATTGCCGCAGAGACAATTGTACCAGGAAAGAGGCTCTACACACACTGGGTTTGGCATAGCCATCGTTTGTCAGCAAAAAGCAACAGCAGAAACAGAGTCAATGGCAAAACGGTGCACAACAAACAGCAGCACTGTGATCCTCTAGTGGCCTTCTTCCATGCTAAAGGCAAAGGCAAAGGCTGCTCACAGTACTCTGGCAATCACCCACAATAGCCCCTGTATTACTTTAGGGAGGTTGTTAGTTAGGATCTATCACAATGGCCACGCAAACCAGCTCATACAATAGTGGCCCACCCAGACCATCTCCTGCAGTGTACGACACATTTGTAGTAGAGACCATTGTCCACTTTGATCACTCACCATCAACCTTGCACAATGGTGGCGATTGTGAGGAAACACAAAGAACATGACATTACCATAAAACATGCACAGATAATTTGATGACTAAATCCCTGGGCAATGTGCCCCTTTCAGACAGTTGTATCTGTCTTAAAACTAAGTTTGACAGCTGAATCAATTGTGATAGTCAGGCACAATGTGCTAAAGTGGGTGAGTGGTGAAAAGGAGGGCCAATGTTCACGATCAAGCTCTGGCACCTTGCATGTGTAGAAGATGTGATTAAATAGGCAAACAAGCAAATTCGAACGTGGCACTTTTACAGCCATTTCTGTACAAATCTCTTTGCAGTCACCTTCTGTGAGCATTTGCGAAGCCACGCACCTGATCGTAGCTCGCCAGCTCTGCAGCATTGATAATCGCATTCCTGGCAACGTTGGGGCCCAAGCCCGTCCACAGTGCAGCCACCCCTTCAGTCCTGCTCAAGACATGAGAAGCTCTCTCCCCCGTTTTCCACAGCTCATGCAACTACATCAATCACATTCAAATTAGGATTCGACCTCCAGCACCAGATGTGTGCATTTGGTCCTGACTGAGCCTTGGAAACAGAAGTGCGGCTGCCAATTTAATACTCAGCAGTTGTTTTGCAGTTGCTCATTGCATGTGTCTTATGAGCTAAGATGATCAGAGTATGAGATTGTTGGCTGTCCACAAGGACTTCATGAAGCTTGTCAAAGAGCACCCCAAGCCCCACGTTGTCAGCGCAATCGATGACAAGAAAATGTTGTGGAGCTCTCCATGACAGTCTCATTTGCCCATCTGGCAGATAGGCATCTACGCCAGGTCCTTGTAGGCAGGGGCATCTGACAAAGATCAACGGACATCACAGTCATTAGGATAAAATTGTGTGTGTGTTCAGGCATTACTGGCATTCCGGTTGCATGGAGAGAGGTGTATCTTCATTGCACTCATTCTCTGAAGTTATTGTGGCAGAAGTGGTGGCTGGCAACCTGTGGAGGGCCTTCACCTTGCAATAATGCCGTACGCCTTAAATGCTGATGGATACTTCTTTGGCACACCCTCAGGGAGCTTTCCCTCTGCCTGCATTCGAACCTGCAGACAGACAGAGATACAATACCTCTCAGAACGGTCGCAGGAGACACCTGGGCATGCATCTACTCACATTGTTCACAGATGGCTTTCATGATAAAAGGAAACAAGTCGAAATATGAGCACCACCCTCCCATGCCCAACGTTGTGACTCATATCCGTACTGTGAAATTACATGCACCAGCGTCTGCATGGTGTTGTTGTCTGGCACATGCACCAGTGATAGAATATTGAGACAAGAAATTTGTGATTTTCTGGAAAACCTTGATGCAAGAATCCACCATGGACAAATTCGTCTTTGTGGCATCAGCATTGCCATGAGTCTCACAACAAACTCACTTTGACAAGGTCAGTGGGGCTTGCAATTGTGATTGCTCCAGCTCCTGTGGTGAGGCCAGCAGCGATCTTCAGATGCAATGGTGCATCTCCTTGTTGATTGCCCATGATCATCTTCTTCACCTGGTGGCACATACACCCCACGTCAGGGCAGTGCATGGACATGTCAATCTTGATGAACATATTGAAATATGGGATTCCCCTTGGTGGACTGTGGACCACATTCCAACAAACAAAAGAGAGTCATCTTCCCCACAAGAATCGCAATACCAGCATTGCACCCATGCCAACAAACCACATTGCAAAGCTCATGCAAGCTTTGTGTCAATCGATGCACAGGTACAACAAACAGTAAATGGGGCGCATATTGAAAATGGATTGTGTGCATTTCATCTGGCATTGGTCAGCTGATTTTGGCAACAATTCTTGAAGAGAAAGAAGACACATCAAGGCACATGACCCTGTTTAGCCAACTCTTGCCCATCACTTGTGCACAAGCTGACTCGTTGCTATTCCAAAGTGAGGCATAGAGAGGTGTAAAATGTATGCATGTCCAAAAGTTGCTAAAGTCTGAGGGCCACTCACCGGGTCGTACATCCCAATACGGAGACCGCCAAAAAGGCATTGACGATGAAGGCCTGCAGTGCGACGGGCGTGCGACGGGACAATGAGTTAATGCATTCCAGGCTGTGCCACAGTGCATCGGCAGCTGCAGAATGTCATAGAATATCTGAAAAATTGTTGACGCAGCAACTGATGATTGATGTTGACTGGGCTTCCAAAATGTTTGCCATTGTCAACTCCAGAATCGCCATGCCTTTTATAGAATGGTTTATCACAAATTCATGTGGGACTGTGAATTGATTTGCAGCCCTACCACTGGAGCGGATCCGAACGCTCTGACCAACACTTTCTTTCGCAGTTAATGGAAGACAAATTGAAAACCGATGCAAGAAGCAAAGAGCATATACATCACCACAACACTGCCCTAGAACTTCCATTACTATTCCTTTTAAGCGTCATCACCATAGAGTACGAGGGTACGAGGGCTGTGGCCCCGTTAATTTGCGGCTCAAGGAATCACAGACTTTGACGACGAAAGATCAAATTGCGATGATAAATTAGACGACAGAACGTGTCGTCCCCTCCGGCTCCCACCTGGTCCAAGGCCCTTCCACAAGGCGGCCGTGCCCTCCTCCCGCGCCACCACCATGCAAGTGCCAAACAAACCCCTGCCCGACGTCCCCAGAGCACAATACCGCCGTTAATGCCCATCACGGCCGCAGGCTCGACCGCCGCGGCGCCTCACAGCCGCCGGCCCATCCAAACAATAAGCGCCACACTGGGTCGCATCGACGCAGACGGACCATCACGCAAAACGCCATCCCCTAAAAGAATCCCCCTGCAGATCCCGCGGTAGTCGTGATTCAATTCAGTTGTGATGTGATTCAGCTCAATCTTTGGACACCCCGGCAGCTGCGATCCAAGCCTTCGCTCACGAACGCCCGTCGTGGCAGTGCGCCCGCCTCCTTTGCCCCGCGCGCGAGGTGTTCCTTCGGCAGCGTTCCAACGTGTGCCGGCTCAACCGGCGCACACGTCGGCCGCATGGGGTCCGTGGGCCCCACCTGTACTTGGGAACCGCGCCCGGCGCCGTCGTCTGCAGCTGCAGCCGCACCTTGGCGGTGTCCAGCGGGAGCGTCGTGGCCTAGGCGCAGGCAGAATCCGATCAGATCACAAACCAGTGCCGAGGGGTATACTGCCAGTTCCCCAGCCCGTCCTTGTTGGGCACCCGCCCGCGCAGCCGCAGGGCGCGGGGAGGGCACGCCGCGCGTCCCCCACGAAAGGAGCAGAGGATTTCCTTCCACGTCGAGGAGCGACACAGCAGCGAAGGTCGCCCCTTTAAACAACCCGATTCGACAATCCTGCCACAGACTGCCGCGCGCTCGCGCGCCGCCCCCGGTGGCGCCCACCTCCGCCCAGCATGTGGCGATGGCGCTGCACACGAAGCTGCCCCACAGGGGGATGGGCTTGGGCCCCTTGTCCGACGCCGGTGGCGACATGGCGGTCGCCGGCCGTCGGTGGGTGGGGGTCGTCGGAGGCGTTTGGAGGCGGGGAGCGGCCCCGGACGGGGGAGGGGGGGGACTTTAGGCCGTGGGTGGACGGCCGGACGGGAGCGGCGCGCGGACAAGTGTCCGGCGGGCCCGCAGCCCTGGCCGAAAGGCGAGCTGATGTGGCGGCGGGCTTCGTGCCACCGCAGAAAAAGGCGCGCAGGTGACGAGTTATCCGCCCCACCGCTGGCCGTGCCCAGTGATGAGGCTTAAATGGAGCCATCGACATTGATGGATGGTCATGTGTTCAGGGGGTTGGGCCCCGTGTACCACTTTGCTACAAGACGTTGCCGTGTGCTCCGGCCTACGGCGCCCCCCTCAGGGGTTGCCACCCCTCGATCCTGCCGTTCTTTATCGCCGGTCCGGCGCACGCCCGATCGAGCTGGACTCGTCGGTGCCAATGAACCTGCAATGGGCGACTCGTGAGCCCGGAATGGCAACCGAAAGCGGTTGGAAACGCCGTTGGTCCACAGCGTTTGACTCGCCGTTGCACCACCTGATACCTTGCCCGAGCCGGGGCCAGGTAGATCAAGACCGTGCCGTACTGCGCTGTAGCACACCGCGATACGATGCGATATGGATTCTGCCCGAAAGAGACTGCGAAAGTTGTTGGTTGGATGTATCCATTCAGTTGATGCTCAAGGGATCAGCTAAACGAAACGACCGTGGCTGGTGTTTTCTTATCGTAAGGCAGTATCGGCAACAGCCAAGACATCGGAAAGGAGATTGTTACAGGGAGGTGAGTTTGTGAGGTGTTGGGCAGTTCGTCGGAATGGCACTGCGTCCAAGAAACGGCCCAACATCTCAGCCACTCAACTCAGACTACAGAAGGCCTGCTGGCACTGCGAAAAATTGTGAGCCCGAGTTGGATCGTCAGAGTTACAAGCAAGTGCACGAAGAAAGTTGGCACACGCTTGGGGCCCCTTATTGCAAAATTCAATGCCCGTGGTCCTGGCTACCACCGCCCCCGATGTGCTGTGTAGACAGTTCCTCAGAGTTCACGCACCCACCCACTGTGCACACAACACAAACCGACGGGCAGCATCTTATGTACAACATGTGTCCTAGATGAGTTTCTACGATCCTGTTGAAATTGCAAGATAGAGACGAGCTCCTATGAGCCTGCTGCACCTACATGCATTCTACCCTACATGCCCACGTCAGGCTACACCCAGCACTATCCTCTTCCCCCCCCCCCCCCTTTTCTGCGCTCCAATACTTCGAAAACTGATCCCACCTTTGCAATGGATGTCCATCCCTAAATCGCTGCACAATGCATTGTCACTCACGTTGACTGCGTTGCGATCGATGCAGTCAACATGAACAGATAACAAATAATACGGTGGTCACCTGTGCC